CCGTCGTGGTCCCTTCATCGCATCAACCGCATGTATTTCTGAAAAAAGAATCGATAAATCAATAATCAAAGGGGAAGAACAAAGGAAACAGAAGGGACCAAATCTCATTTACGAGCTGCTTCACACCTCTAAACATGCCAGTAATGCGGTCATTTAGTGCCTATTTCAAAGGCACGGTCCACGAAAATGAAAATGGTTGCTGAGATTTCATGTGGAATGATTCCCTAATCCTCAAGATTGGGCATGAACCCTTGTGGGGTCAAAAAAATGGCTCAGATAAAGCGCAGAACGAACTCCAAGGATGTCTCCAGTGTATGCCACACCCACACATGCCCGTGTTTCGCAGGCTTTGTGGAGGCTGCACCATTCGCAATGAAGCACCGTTGTTGAAATCTAAGGCAGCTGATCGCCTGGGCTCTGTTCTACGGCGACATTGAGAAGCAATTTTGACGTTTTCGCCATCGGACCCTCCGGATCTTGATCTCTACCGTATAACACCACCTTCACCTAGTCTAGGGACTTTTGCAATTTGCTTATCTGTGAACTTTCGCGTTTTCTTTGGCCCAGACGCATACTCTGCACTAAAACTTTCGTTGTTTGACCTAGAAACGATTCCTCAGAATAATCGTGGGCCGCACCTTTACAGGAATTCTCCTCTGCATACATAATCGCACTAGTCGGAGATGACCGCACGCAAACCGAAATGCACTACACAAAAATGAAAATCAGTACGGATCTTAATTCCTATCGTAATTCCGTTTTTGCTTTATTCTATGACTATACATCTATTCGAAATCATTCACCACTTTCTAAGGCTAATATGAATATGATCTAGGAGTGGGATTACGGTAGTGAGTTGAATCCGTACTGAATTTTCATTTTTGAATGCTCAACAACGGTCTCCGCATGTGTAGAGCTATGAAAAGTATGGGAGACGAGCAGTTGAATCGGTTTCGGGTAATGGATTCGCCGTACGCGGCATTCGCGGACGAGTTGCTTCGTTATTGCAGTTCTAGCATTCTTCATAAGGCTCGATCCATATGAGATTATTATATTATTTTTGGAGTAATTCTACAGTCCGCTCTTTTGTCACTGTATTCCTTAGTAGCTGCGATGCTTAGATTTCATCCAGCTAAATGCCTTCGCGCGCACGTCGCTCTCGCCGCGAAGCGACAATTCCGATTCAACTGCACCACACCCAAAATATGCACACAAGGATAGAAAATAGCCATGCTTCACTCTCAGTACACATGATGTGCTTCAACTTACATCATCAGTGTTTCTTCGTAAAGAAGAACTGAAATGAAAAATAGCTATGAGACGATTCTCTGAAAATAAGAAATGTTCCTGGTGGCTGTATTTCGGCATGAATGTTGAGGCCAGGGTGGCTACGCAGCGTAGATTTATGGTGTTCGTAGAAACCACAGAAAATGGAAGCAGCCCTCAAAATCAACGTCGGGACGGCGATATCCATCCGCTTAGGAAGAAACGGCTCGTATAGGTCGTGTTGGGAATCGCAATTCAAGAGATTGTTTTGGGCACACAAGGAGAAATTTCAATGCCCAATGTTATTCATGTCCTTGGGCAATTCGGCTTTGCCCACTCTTTTGGAATGTTGTAAAAGCATGAGGGTCTCACTATGGAAAAGGGTGGAGGAACTGAATCAGCTGGGTCAGCTCCCACGTAACTATCTTTGAGCCAGAACTTGCTCTATGGAGGAGGCGCTCACCCCTCATGCCACAACACAATGCCTACTTATTAGTTACTGCACATATCAATTTCAAACGAGATCATGGGAAATTCAAAGGTAAACTAGGTCATCTGCGTTTGAGTGATGCCGAAATAAAGCCCCTTCTTGACTTTCTGAAAATTGCCTTTATACACAAAGAGGGTAGAAGGTTATATCACCAGAAGGGCGAAAGGTTCGTGCAAGTGAATCGAAAGGCCCGTGCAAGGGAATAGTTCCAGAGGTAAACTCAATGTGACCAAGCTAGCAATTCAGTGACCTATAAGAAAGGAATGTGCTTTGTCTATGTGGCTCCCGAAGGAGGTTCCTAGAGAGCCAAGCAGTCCCACGTGCGTGACAAAAGAAGGAGATTCATATCTTAGTGAAACAGACGTGCCAAAGACGAAAAAGGTACTGAACATTGGAAGAAAGCATAGGAAGCATAGGCTTTGACTACCCTTGAGCAGGCGGGATCTCACCTGCAGGAACATTCCAACAATGACAGAGACGACAATTACCGGTATGCCGGATAGCCAGTTGAACATGGATGGAAGCGCTCGGCGCGTTCCAATTAGTCGATTCATCTGCTTCAATTTGGCGTCTGATACAGGAGGATATCGAGAACTAGAAAATCGCATCTGCTTTAATTTCGCATCCGATACAGGAGGATATCGAGAACTGGAAAATCGGAAAATTATCTTTACTCGTGTAAAAGAAGGCCATTTATATGATATTTACGTTTTCTAAATGATTCGAAGATAGAGCACACTGAATATTCCCGAACGTGGAGAACACTGAAGAAGCAGTGTTTATGGTTGGCTAGCGATAACTTTTTTCCCACTGACCAACTTATGCAGATATAGTTACGACCACCAGGCGATATGCCGCGCGGCGAGACAACTAGTCAAGAATCGCCGCGCATAAAGAGCAGATTGAAACTACCACTACATACACTTCGAGGCCCAATGTTCTACTTCATGATCCAATTTTTTAGCAAGATTTTTTTAGTAAAATCTGGTAAATTTATCTGAATGTTGGTATGACTCCTCAAAAAGTACTAGTGGTCGAGTACTTATTTCAAAAGCTCTAAAAAGAAATTTTCGAAAAAAATTTAACNTGAAAAAAGTTTACCTCAAAAGGGATTCGCCGAAGAAACCTCGCTTCAACACCGCCTTTTCATGCGTGAAAGTGTCGAAACCAAATCTGCCGCGATATCGTCCCATTCCCGAAGTTCCCACGCCACCAAACGGAAGTGTATCAACTGTAATCATGTAGATTACTTGTACGATCATCCTCATTGTTCATATTTGTCCGCATAGACTTTTGTAACTACAAATGGCAACATTTATACTACGCGACGTGCATTAGCGACAGCTAATGAGCGATCGGCAGCAGGTGCTACCGCACCGCATGGGCCACGCGTGCGGCAATCGATACGGTGTGTGTTTCCGCGTCACTTTAAAAATGATGCGCTCGCTCGGTACTTACCCATGGCGAACCATGAAGCTGCTTTAAGTGAATTTGATTTTGCACTCGTTACTCTGCGAATGTCTTCCTGCCCTAGCTTGCCAGAGAATAAGAAGTAAGTTGAGGGTGGGAGCTTACCAGTTATGTGCATGATTACGTCATTGATGGTTACACCACCACTACTCGTTTCCATGTAGAATCGCTTCGCTTTTGAGTCACTTCGAGTAAAGATATATGCCGCGAGCGGTTTTTCACCCTCATTGATATATTCTATGGCTTCACTGAGATCCTTGACGGTAAGTACAGGCAACACTGGGCCGAAAATCTGAAAACAAAATTGGCTCAGCCCGCATATGCGTGGAGAGATGCTCAGAAATCCAGTACAACAGGTTTCTCGAGCCCACTTGGAGTCTTTTGTGGATTTCTTTCAAACCTACTGGGAGTTTAGATGAGTTGGTGGTAGGAATGGCTGACAAATTGGACGATAATTTAGGCTTACCTCATCGTGTAAGAAGGGATCGTCTGCTTTAACGTCCAATATCACTGGGGGGAAGAAAAGATCGTCCCTGTCTCGTTCACCGCCAATGAAAAGAATTGTTCCTTTGGAGGAGTCCAGAAGTGAATTGAGACGACTGAAAGTATTCAATCAAGCAATTTCGAAAAAAGCAGTATTGTAAAAATTTGAGAACGTAACAAATGGAATGGAAGTTAGAATTTTCAAAGTGAGGAAAAGGCAGGAGTCTGGTTTGCTTGGTTCCCCTGGATCTGGGCTGAAGGGTGGGGGACTTAGGTTCCCAACCGAACTCAAAGGCTTTGGGAGAGGCACTCAGAAAGAAAAATATAGCTTAAGTTATAACCCGGAAAATTACAGGGTCTCTCGGAAGATGGCTATGCTACGACTGCACGACGTCAGCGCGCGCAGAAATCACCTTCATTGCGGTGACCGCAATGGCTCCTCCTGACCCAAATCATGAAGGAGATGGGAGAAGAAAAGCCCTCACAACTACAATAGGCTGAATACACTTTCCCACATCTACATATATTCACGAAAGGACTCAAGTTCCTGACACAAAGACAAGTTGATCACCAATAAGTGCTTAACTCATAACCTTTTACTGTCCTACCGGAGAAAAAGGATACCATCCGCAGCCTTCCCGTTTAAACCCAAAGAGCTAAGCCGGTTTTTTGGGTAAAACAAGCAGGGAAGCGATAGGAACTCACTCAAAATGCCTTTGATTGATGATCCGCGAATAATCTCTACTGGCTTTGATATCGCTACCATAAAATTCATTGATAGCTCGTCGCATAGCGTCAATAAGCTGAAAC